TAAAAAATATATCACATTTTTTCAACTATATTAAAAAGCGCGACAAAACATTTTTCACCAAGATTCAGCGACAAAAAGACGACAAGTGGTTTTGTCTGTTGCTTTATTCACTCTTAGGGACTTTCATGGATGGTAATGCTAACTTGCGTGTCAGGTTATCACAACCAAAGGTTATTTTTTAAAACCCAAACGCGACAAAACTTTTGTCACCAAAGTTCAACGACAAAAAGGCGACAAATGGTTTTTGTCTATTCGTTTATTTAACCGTAGGTATTTTCATGGATGGTAATGCTAACTTGTGTTTTAAGTTACCACAACCAGAGGTTATTTTTTAAAACCCAAACGCGACAAAACTATTATCACCAAGGTTCAACGACAAAAAGGCGACAAATGGTTTTTGTCTATTCCTTTATTCAACCGTAGGTATTTTCATGGATGGTAATGCTAACTTGTGTGTTAAGTTATTACAACCAGAGGCTGTTTTTAAAAATCCAAAAGCGACAAAACTTTTATCACCAAGGTTCATCGACAAAAGGCGACAAATGGTTTTTGTCTATTAGTTTATTCAACCGTAGGTATTTTCATGGATGGTAATGCTAACTTGTGTGTTAAGTTATCACAACCAGAGGCTGTTTTTAAAAACCCAAACGCGACAAAACTTTTATCACCAAGGTTCAACGACAAAAAGGCGACAAATGTTTTTTGTCTGTTGCCTTATTCAATCGTAGGTACTTTCATGGATGGTAATACTAACTTGTGTGTTAAGTTACCACAACCAGAGGTTATTTTTTAAAACCCAAACGCGATAAAACTTTTATCACCAAGGTTCAATGACAAAAAAGTAATTTCATGGACGGTAATGCTAATTTGCGTGACAAGTTACCACTACCAGGGGCTACTTTTTAAAAAACAGACGCGACAAATTTTTTCTTTCACGACAAATTTACGACAATTAATCTACTTTGAAACTTCTTAGTGGGAGTGCTAACTTGATGGATATAAATTATACATTAGGCATTTCCCGTTTAGAAATACTTTGTAGATCGCATGCACATGTGTATTATGATGGAAGAAGTCGGGTCCGACCACGCCCTCTATGCAGTTTTTATCATGCAGGAACTGCAGAGTTTATGGAATAGGCAACTTTACAGTTTTCATAAAGTAATACACACTGATTTCCGGCTTGCCAGCGGGCACTCATAAATCTTTATTTTAACTCCCCGGTCGAACTCGGTTACTTTATCCTGTGTATCGTAGCGCAGCGAAGTTAACTTGTTAGTTTCATTACGAAGCCGACGAATATAATCACGAAATCCTCGGTCTTCATGCAAGCTTCTGAACGCGAAATGGCGGTCTAGGTAATGGACTGTTTCAAATTTGCAATTTCCAACTTTTTGTTCTTCTTTCCAACTTGTCTTTTGTGTAAAAATATTTTCTTTCTTCTTCTTCCTTTCTATCTCATTCTACGTGTTTATGTGTATCTACATCGTATCTAACTAATAAAATGAACTTTTTTGAACTTTAATTAGTATCTACCTATTGATCTTTTCTATCATTTTAATAGTGCCTGACACTATTTCTTGGAATTTCCTGAATTGTAGAAACGAATAAGTAAATCCATCGGGGGAACAGAGTTACTCAATCGAAAATTGGAAAAACTGAACTTTCAAGACAAAAAAAGATCGGTACATTTTGATACGTAACTGTAGTGGGTAGGTTTTGAAGAATTAGATTACTCTAATGTGTATCTGTCCTTCTGGATGAATCACCTGTAATAATTGCAAAAATGGATAGAGGGGCTGTCCCTGAGTCGTGCTTGGGTAGTTTTTCCGATAGGAGGGCAAATTTTGACGCTTCCTACCTGAAAAGTAACCCATCTCAGATGTCTCATCACAAAGGACAAAAGGGAAATTTTTCTTCTTTAACTGTTTATTACTTCATTAGTTGGTAGTGTAAGCATGTGACTTATATCGGACTTGTTAATTTTCCGTCCAAAAGCGTTCTCCAAAATCGATTGTCCATTATATCCGAATATAAAAAGCACTTGTTTAAATGGAGAGCAATTTCGTTTTTTAAAAAACGTAACAAAACTTTTAATGTGTCGATTTTAAACATGGAAGAATCAGAAAAAAAGGTTCGCATTCTCTGTTGTTCCCTTATTCTTTTTTCAAAATTCTAAGGGATTATTCGGGATAAAGGGCTGCTAAAAACGACGACACGCTCGTGTGCATCAATTTAGTGGTAGAACGTAATCAATAGATGCACTGTACGTGGCAATACGAAGGAAATTAAGTTTTCATGCCAAAATCACATCAATTTGCGGAAATACATTCGACTCGCTCGACTTCTTCTCTTGTCAGAAGTTGCTCAAGGAACTATAAATAAATAAATTACCTACGTAACGATAGAGCGACAAACTGTTTAAAATGAAACTCATTGTAACGAAAAGGAGTCTTGCGCTTCTAAGGGGGAAATTAAAAATTATTACGAAAAAATATTTTGAGCTTCTATGAGTAAAAAATCTTTTTTCTTGTTTTAATACTATTTTATGCCAAAAGTTAAAAGATATAGCTGGGGCGATTTTGTATTTGAAAAGGACATTTTAAGGGTTATTCGTTAACTTATTATTCTCTAATAACTAAAATGTCAAAAAAATCAAAATTTCGCGGTACTACCTTTGCCAATGATATATTTTGTTAAAGGTATCGTAGAGAATGTTTGCCCATATTAGATTTTTATACATGCATCATATTTATACTTTTATATGCGTAAAATATACCGTGCAATATATGCAGTTGAAATTTATGCTGCAATTATTCTTTGAAAATACCGTCAAACGATTCATTTGAACACTCCGTTGAGTATTTTCGCTTCTACTTATGTAGATACCTACACCGTATTTTCTGGTAATTTATTTGAATGTGCACCTTGTATGGTGGTCCGTACATGGCAGTTGAGTTATCGAAGCGAATAATATGTCTCCTGAAGAGACAGGAGCGTGATGAATAATTCAGAAACGTTGAGGAAGTAGCGAATTGTAAAGTTCACCAAACGTTTGTAAATAATGAATACGTAAATTTTAAAATGCATCGTCGATTCTGAAAGAATACCTACTGGCCACCTTAGATATCCGTGTTGCCGAAAGACTTCGATCCAATTTTGCTGCAGAGACATTTATTTTTGTGGGTTGTCGAATTTTCAATGCCGTGCATCATTATCATTTCTTTTCTTACCGCATACTAGAATAGTTTCCGTGCACGTTTTCAGAACGGTTAATAACATGGTCCTACGAGCCGAAGATGAGCGTCAGTCGTTAAACTTTGAATTTTTTTGTTTTTATTTTATTGTCGATCTAATTTCTGGTGGAAGTGCCAGGCAAGATGTCCCTTTTAGTGTTTTTAGGATGGTGTTAATTGAATTTGTGTTACATTTTCGTATTCATTGTGAAATATATTAAATAAACTAACTCTCTACTATCATCCTTATGTATAGAAAAATATATTGGTGGCATAAAGTTTATAAAGATCCGCAAAGGGGAATTTTGGCCCTAGAAATCCCATAGTTTAGGCTTGAGTTGTTCAGTGATCATTAAATCGTAATTTTTGCATTTATCGATTGATTGATTTCTTTGAATTAATTAGTTCATATGCCGTTTTGCTGCAAGTCCAGCAGTAGGTATTTTTATTTCGGTCTTATTGGACTAAACATCTTTCCTATTGTCTCTTAGCAGTCCTAAAGGGATGACTAAAAGATTCATGTCGGCCTGCTCCTGCGAACGTAAGTTCTTTTATAAATCTAAAGCAATTCCTCGTGGGGCATTTCGACTTGAATTGAATCGTAAAAGTTTAATGACTTTTTAATAATGAAGGGGTTCGTTTATACGCATACATATGCATAGGTAACATACAGTCAGCAGGTACAAACGCTTGTAATGCGGAAGTAACAGAATAAGCGGAAGTAGTAAATTAGAAGATTACTCGCTAGTCTGTTACTCTTAAATTATTAACAGTTATAAACATTCTCTCTGTGATAAATTTAAAGTAGATTCTTAAAAGTTTGTGATACGGTTTTTTTAAAACATTTAAAACATTTTTAAAAGGGAAATATGAAACTGTATCCGTATGAAGAAAACAGGGTGGTTCTATAAGGAAAATGAGACGCAGGGTATTAAAATGGAATTATAAATAATTTAATACGAAATCTTTATTTTGATAACTAATGTAACGGGTTTTATTATTTTTATTAGTTTTTTCTATATTGAATATTGAAAATTGCTGGAGTACGTTTTTTTACGAGTAATATTTTAGGAATAGAGTTAGAAGTAGACTTTGTATGTTGTTGTTCCTACAGTACCTTCTTAGGTAATGCCGCTTAGGCCTGGAAATTTCAAAGAATTTTTAGAAATACACTTTATCCACTTTATAATCTACCCTTATAGAGATTGGATTTTCAAAATCCTTCTTTAGTGGGGGCTTACATCCACATGCTATTTGTTTAGGTTCTTCTTTTCTTTTTACTGTCTATTTTCTGGATTTTATTGTGAAATAGTGTTGATATTTCTTTGTATCTACTTAAATATTGTATTATTCTTTTTCTATTGTCATGGTGTTACAAAAACTTAATTTTAAACTTGTGTATCTATTCAAGAATTGTAATACTTAAATAAAATAGTTTAGTTGTTAATAATTACCATTTCTTTCCTTACGGTATACTAGAATATATTTCGTGTACGTTTTTAGAACGGTCAATACCATGGTCCAACAAGCCGAAGACGAGCGACAAATGCGAATTTTTGCTTTTTTCGTTTTCATTTTATTGTTGATTTAATTTCTGGCGGAAGTGCCAGGCAAAATGTCTTTTGTTTTTAAGAATAGTTAACTTGTGTCACACACTTATACTGATTATTAAACTTGCGTATCTACATATTTAAGTATTTCAATACTTAAAAAAATCGTTTAATTTAGAAATCAATACAAACAAAATTATGTTGTTAATAATTTCGTTTTATTAAGAAAGTATGGTAAAAAACATATCCAGACTTAAAAAATATAGAGTGGGTAGTTGCTTAGAGTATGCATGACCAGACTTGTGAAAGAAAATCAAAATATAAATATAAATATTTGTAAATAAATTAACAGAATTATTTGTCAGAGAACTCCAATGAACTGGGGATGTTTAGGGTTGGAAACACTTGAAGGGCTTGTCTTTTCAGTTCGGCAAACATTTCTCTAATATTGGCTTGAGCATCAGTGTTATGTATTTCCCCTAGTGTTGGGATGTCAAATCTGTCTTTATTTAAGCATCTTGATATTGGTTCCTGAAATATTGGAAACAGTAACAGTTACAAAAGGTTTTTATTAACTGCAAATTAATAATTATATTGAGACAAATGAGCAACAATTTTAAACATTGTATGGCTTTGTATCTTATTGATTTTTTTGTGATTTTTCACTTTCTACATTATTTTAATTTCTAAGCCAATAATTTGCAAGATTACCAATTTCTATTTGTTTGTGAAAAAAATCTTACTGGATGCCGTTGTTTTTTGCGGGGCGTGCTGCTCTCACTGCTTGATATCCTTAGCAGGAAATGATTGGAACTGTCGCCAGAGGGTAGTTCTTTGAAAGACAATTTATCCGAGGGTGGATCTTTCAAAAAGAAGGCCTGAGTCGACTCATCTGAATTGATTGTGGAGGGCATGGTGTTGTTGTCACCCATTTCCTTGCCCATCTGCTCCTCCTCTGTCGCCTTTTTTGTTGTGCCTTCTCTAGTAGACTTACTAACGTTATTCATCAATTCTGCCATGGGAATACTCTCGAAAAATTCTCCTGCAAGGAAAAGTAATGAATTAAGGTAATTAATATACAACTTTAATAACCTACAGTAAAAAATTTACCTGCATTTGTTGCACCACCACTAGAAATAGGCTGGAATGTGGTCCTTTGTAAATCCAATATATTTTCGTCAACAATTTTCTGTAGTTGCAACATTTCTGATTGAATTTCTTCCACCTGCTTTGTCCTTAGGTTGCAAATAGTTTGGAATTTCTCCTTTTCCATATTTACTTTAGCCAGATGATGTTTCAATACAATTATTTCTTGGTCACAAATGCTCTTTTGAGCATGCAAATCACTTACAAGAGCTTTCAGTTCTCTTTTTGAAGGACTGGTCTCCATCTCGATTTGTGTTTTTAATCGTCTTATTTCTGCTTGAAGATTGCCATTTTCTAACTTCACCTCTTGCAGTCTCATTTGAAGAGTGGAATTCAGAGTCTTCATCTCCTGAAATTTGCTTTCGATTTCCTTGTTTTGCTGCAAGTAAAACATTAAAGCATATATCTTAGTTAAATGAAAAAGAAAAAAATCACTTTGGTTTCCTCATTCTTCTTCCTCAAATATTTAACAGTATCCTTTTCTGCTTTTAACAAGAGTTCAATTTCCTCTTTTTCTCTTTTATATCGACTACATAGATTTTCAAGTTGTTTACAATTAATTTCTAATTTCTTTGAGCTTTCTTCCCATTGTTTCCTAAATTTTTCTGTTTCAACTGTTGTATTGTCTAAAATAGGCTCTGTTTGAGATGCTGTGCTTGCTATTTTTATCTATAAAACATTAATATTCAGAAACAAAACGTGCTACTGATTATACATCTACTGTTGTAATTTACCAGTTTTGTTGTATTGATTGGTCTTGGTTTTCTTGATTCACTCATTGCTCTTTGTTTGATAGTTACAGAATTCTCTGTGGGCATTCTTTTCACTATGTTATGCATATCGGTTATAATTTGTTGTACATTAACATCACCTGAAAGTTATTTTGTAACTATGTTGGTATATATAATATGTATAACAATAAGTCACTTAGATTTTGCAGTTTATCCTGTAGTTCATTTATTAAAAAATTTAAAGTTCTTAAAGGGTCGAATTTGTTCAAGTTTGATACACTTTTCCCAGCTTTTAACATGTCCCCCCATGTTTCTCTTGCACCTGTTGATTGAGTGTCTTTCTTCTTCGTTGCACTGGGACCGTTGGCGTTAAGAGTTTTAACTGTAACTTCTACCGAAGCACCTTTATCAGCAAAAATTTCCTTATGAATAGGTCCAGAGTATATACCTTTAGACTTTATATTCGTTTGCTTAGGTTTCTGCGTCAACTGTTTGGATGGAAAAAGCGAAGAAGGAGCAGTTAAACGTGTACAGTCTCTACATGTTTTACTTGTACTAGTGGATTTAAATGTCTGTCTCTGCATAATACTGATGAAGTATGTGTACGCCTTTAAGCGATAATTCTACACAGATTTAGATATTTTTCATAGTAATTGAGGCACAACGACTCTTAGTAGTACCTGCAATTAAATGTTTCAGCAATGTCTGTTTTGAAATAAAAATAATGAACCAAAACAGGAAAATATATGCTATGCACTCAATTGTAGGTTAACAATTTGTTGACATTTTAAATTTGAAAATAAACTGACGTTTGTGGGGCATGCGCGTTAATTCTTCATGCATTAAATGATAATGGTTGGTTTACACTTATGCGGTAGGAAGTAAGTTAAAATAAAGTAGTAATGGCGGCATTAAAGCTGGGATCACAAAGATACAAAGTAAATAACAGATATTATGATTTGTAACACTACCTTTTCAACCGAATTTTTACTGGATCTAGCAAATATACTCCATATAAGAAAAGAAATCCAAGTATTATGCCCAGACGTTCGTTTGTATTTCGCTCGTAAAGTTCTTTCTCTGCGAAGATGGATGTGAGTGGATTTTGTTCAAAGAAAATACCACTTTATCTGTCAAAAACCGAATTCGAATTTTTCTTTAGTTTGCTGACTGCAGTGCAGCAGACAAGATGAATCACACACTCCATAATTCATTCCCGTCACTTGATAATCTTCGAAGGAGCAGTGTAGACCTGATGACTTTTCGAATATTACCATCTTTTCGTTATTGAACTGATATGAGAATGATTGAAATTTGGCCAGTGGTGAAAATAAAAATATGTTATCAGAGACAGGTTTTTGGCCCTGAACACTACATTAAGAATGCAACGTCACTCAGACTTAATCTTAAGGAATATTTTAGGATGTTAAAAATAAAGTTTCAGGTCAAATAAAATGAAGGCTGTTCTTGGCTAGATTCTTTAAATGCTTTTAAGGTTTCTTGAAATTCTTTCTATTGCTTTGTTCAAAATCTCGTTAGAGTTGGTTTTCAAAAAGTCTCCTAAATTAATTTCACATAATAGGCAAGTGAATATAAATATGTCGCTTAAGTTCTCATTAAACTCAACAATCTTTGCTAACAACCCTCTTGTTAAAAAGCTCTAGTAAAGGGAAAATGCTGAAAAACATTATTTTTTCACAAAAAAAAAATGACTGAATACCTCGCTTTATGTAAACAAGATGGCTGTTTTGAGTTTCCTGTACTGCACTACAATTTAAAGTAGGCCAGGTGTATATTTGATGGTTAATTGTTTGTTCTTTACTGACTGATGTTCGTTGAATAACACCATCGATGAAAGGTCCTTTTCTACGTTGCGACGCGTTAAAAACGTGAATGAGGTTTAGTATGGCTGAAGCTAGACTGAATGGTTTCTGTATGTCCAATGTACATGGAAAATGGATTCTCAAAAATAAATAAAAATTTAGTACTGATGTTCAGGACAAATTTGCGGAATATCCAACTTGCCCACTTTTCACCTAAAGTTTGTTTTGCTAATTATATCCTTCCATTTTAATGGAATTTAAAGAAATAAAAACTACGAATAAATAAAGGAATGCTGGTAAATAAACAATAATTGAATGTGAATTTTGTGTCTCCTTCCCGAATAAAATCGCTACGTCTTTGACAGAAAATTCAAACAGTTGGTTTGATCTTTATCAACAGGAAACAATCTCTCTATATCACAAACGTATTGAATCCTATTTTTTCTTTCATGATAAATCTGGTACCTAATTAGTTTGGTGGCAATAGATAAATAATTGGAACGGTTGCTACATAAACACTGCAAACAAAAGGCTTTATATTGCGGACTGCAAATCCTATTACAGCCTCCATTATTTATCTAATCATTCACAAATGAGTGCTACAAAACGGACTTTGAAACAGTGGCAACAATACACCCCTAGTTCGATATATATTTATAATTCATATACGTATATATGTTGACTTCATAGAAGATGCATATCGAATGCAATTAGAAGAAAGAGATCGTTTTGTTTATATTCTGTACGTTCCAAATGGTCAATGAGCAGCAGTTCTAACATTGTTTCGTAATGGCGTCTGTTTGCCATTGACGCCATTCTATTTCTAGATTATGTAAAGACAGGATGCAGTTAGAGGGAGAGTTTTTTGTTTCGAAATAAACACTAATCACTACTAGTCGGAAATTTAGGTCAAAATTTGCTTGGGTCGTTCGTCCACATTTCCATAATGAAACCGTTATCTGCGTTTGAAAACGTTAATGCAACGTTGTAGGGCAAATTAAGGGGTTTTTACGGTCCAGATAAAGCATTTCCGGAACGTTTTTGGAAAGGCAAGTGCAGATAATGCCGTCTGTTTTCGAACACAATTTGGCGCCCTTTGTCTGTATTCCGAAAAACAAATATGCTAAAAGTTAACTAATAGCGAATCTTCGAGGTCGTTTAGAAAACGATTTCAAAAGGAACAAGAACAAGCAGATGTTACGTTAAGCATTTTCAACCAACACGTCTTGGGGAGACGATCGTTATATATCGAGACGTATTTTTTTGGAGTGCATCGGTAATCTAAATCTTTAGAATCTATATCTGACAATTTGTTCCCAGCATTAATAAAGCTTTTGTGAATAATATTTGAACAATTAAAATTTTGTAATATTGCTGGACGGATGTTTGTTGACTATTTACTAAAGGACAATTGCGATTTTGTAACTAGAACAGCAATCGGAAATCGCAGCTCTTATAAATTCCATGTCCATTGCCAAGTTTACACGTAAATGTCGGAGAAAATTGTTGTAGTATTGACTGCTCGGTGGCGATTTTATCTCTCACGAAAGGTACCGCAAATACAAATAAATCCAGTTTCCGACCTCGTTATCTTTATAATTAATCTGGTTTCCCTTGGAACGTAAAGGCGCACTTCGTGATTTCGTCGGTTCCAAATTAAAGTTACTGCTTTTCCTTTATGCCTCTTTGAAACATCAGCCAAACTAATAAGATTCTTACTGACGTTCCTCTGTATTTCTATATATCTAAAGTGTATGTAATCCGGGACATGAAAGAAAAGGGGGTGGCTCTTGACATTAAGTACAGGTAGTCGAAGTTTCGTTGGATCTGTTGCTGAAACTCTGGTTAGCAAAGTAAGTAGTAAAAAGTTTGCTTGGTTAGTTGGATCACTCTGGTTTTGATACTAGTGGTTAGCTAAATAGAGGCCCCTTTTTAGTCTCTTTTGGAAATTGTGTTAATGGGCGAGGGTGGTGTTAATGAGAGAAAGAAATGCGAGATCGACAGGATGGAAACGGGAGAATTTGGTTATTCAGAATAGTCGTTAAATCAAAAACCTAAGATAATTCATTTCCTAGATGATGTTGATCTTATTTGAAAGTATACATAGAACATTCTTTATTTAGATGATGCATAACAAAGAAAAATAAACATCTCCAACTTTATTCAGGAAATCCATTAACTTCAAGTGATTATTTCCGTAAAGAACCATTTGATTATTGGGAATATAATTTGCCCATATTTGGATCTAACCGTTAGACATGCCACTTACAGTTTACCATTCTTTGAGACACTTAAGTCACCTTTTAGAATTCATGAGAGTGGATAGGTGGTAGCTGGTGTGAAAACTATGAGACGGATGAAATGGAGACCGAAAAGAACTGAAAGATTATTTGTTTGTCGAATATTATGCCTCTGCATTTGCTTAACTGATCCAAGGAAACCGAAGAAGAACTTGGACCAAGGATTCGGAATGGAACTGCTATCCTCTCGAAGCCAAGGAACTAGTTCAATGTCTAAAGCTACAGGATCAGTCTCGTTTGTTTCCTTAACTATCACTATTACTACCATTATTATTATCACTACCACTACCACAACCATTACCACTACCACCCACCCTCAGGCTTCATAAATGAAGATGAGATTGACATTTTCCGTAGCTACCACATTGCTGAGGATGTTGAATTTCGTTCAATTTGCACAGGAAATTGTCACAGCCTCTGGGCTAGTCCTGAGGTCTTCAACTATCTATTTCTTGATCATTCCCTCAGGAACCGCCACGTCCCCTTTTTGAGACTTTCTACATGTACGTGCCGCCACTCAATCATTTAATTTAACTGTAAAACAAAAAATTAAAGGTTCTGTTTTGCGTGCGAACGCAAGTCTATATGTAGATAAGTAAGAAAGGCAGTAGCGACGATAGCATGCCCTTAATTAAAGATTGTAATTAGACACGCGACCCTGTACGCCACCCCCGTTTCGAAGACAACTAACCGGAGGCGTACCGTACCTCGTCCGTCTCTTCATCCTTTTGAACGCCTCCATCAACGAAAACATCAACAACCGTTCTCGTCGACGTCGTCATTGTTTTGTTGTCGGAACGCGGCACGTCGTGTTTTCTCCGTTGTCACGCGACGTTAAAAGGTAATAATAATTACAAACATAATAAAGCATTTCGCTTAGTCGGTCGGTCGCCCGTCCCACAGCCGATCCACAAAACGTTTAATTTATGGCGAGAAAAAGGGCTGCCTTCACCACGGCGCGGTGGAGCTACAATGAAAACCCTCATCGGCTCATTTACGACTAAGAAAGTGGGTGGTTTGCATTACCCAGTCACGGCACCATCTCTCATTAGCACTATTTCCCTATTTTAAAAATCGAATCACATTAATGCCATAACTTACTATCATCATCGTCATAAGGTTGTCAATCCTAAGACTGGTTGGACACACACCTCCACTCTTTCCAATCCTGAGCTAATCTTCGCATTTCCCTAAAACTAGATTTTTTTTATGTTTTCGTGGAAGAGGGATCTTCAAAAGACACCCAGCCGTCCGTACGACTGGGTAGTGTCGGATTCCCGAGGAAGAAGTCCTCGGACCTACCGACTAAAACTTCTCTACCTCACGCTTCTATGACCTTGAAAGGCACTGCAAGCACGATAAGTATCGGATTTCATACTCCGCCGGCATTGTCTTTATTTTTTTCTCTATTAACGGATATACCATGGGATGTACAGATGCTGCAAGTGCATGAAAACTGTCTTTTGATATTCGATAAATGGGCTTGAATCCGTCATCGTAAGAAGTAAGGAGTTTACGATGTCTTCTACTACAGTATCCTGGTTACTTCATCATCATAAGGTCGTCAATCCCAAGACTGGTTAGACACGCACCTCCACTCTTTCCTATTCTGAGCCAATCTTCGCATTTTCCCAAAAGTAGAAAAACCCACTC